GCAGGAGTAGGAACGGGGTGGTTTTTAGTCAGTAACAGTCTGACACTCCCTCCCGCCTCACCCTGGCTGAAGAAGACATTCGATGATTTAAAAAAAATTATTGTCTGCCTATGTGGAACATCTGTTCCACATAGGCAGACAAACTATGTTTGAGTCGAATGAATGTTGATTTCACTCCACTAAAAATAGAAATGTAAACTAAACCTTATAAGGAAGCAATAAGGTTTATTATCGAAATATAATCTCATTATTTTATTTATAGGTTTGGATGAAAGTATCCCCGTGTCTCCCGCTAGTACAGCACGCCGCCGCGCTGGCCGCCGTGCGGGCCATACGGTCACAACCTGCTTACGAACATTTGGATATTAGGTAATATAATAATTATCTAACTAGTTGCCATTTACTGATTATTTTTGTCCTTTTCCCAACTTTTTTGTGATTGGTTCAAAATATTCTCTCTTATTCATTATTTTCTATCAGACATGATTCACATGACTGATAATGAAGTTGGAAAATGCGTACATCTTACCAAATTACGTTGTTTTTCTTTTATAGGATAAAGTGGCCCAACGACATATATTTCGGTCGTGACGTCAAGATCGGTGGCACCATCACCACTGCCAACTGCATCGGTGAACAAGTTTACGTTAATATAGGTAATTGTATAACTTTACCTTCTTATTTACGCATTCTTGCTCTCATATTTGTTTTGAGACAAAACAGTTTCTTACACTACTGTAACATTTTTGTAGAAATATAGGTAACTTTTTGCGTATTTGCGCAAACTTTGTGTTATCTATGCGCAACTTAAATATTGACATGCGCAAACTTGCGCTAAGAGTGAAATAACAATACAATACTCTCTAAAGAGCTACTACTTTAATGTTACTGAGAAAAATACCTCTAATAATATCCCTATATTATAATTTAATTTTGGAAATTCGCTCATTTCTCAGGTACCGGTGTAAACATATCGAATAGTGCCCCGACAGTGTGTCTGAACGATATTATAACGGAACACAACAAACAGCACGGCACCACTCTACCTCTGATATCGATAGAGAAGTTCCTAGCGAGATACTGCTCGCAACTCGAGCGGATAATCGATTACATGAGCTCCGACGGAGGAATCGATGCCTTCTTCGAACAGTATTATCAGTATTGGTTGCATACGTAAGTACATCTTTTAATTGAATGTTACCGAATCAAAATAATTAAATACAAAGAATCACATATAAATAAAAAAATATGATCAACTCTGCTTTCTTGTGTATTCCTTTTTATTGTAATTTACACACACTAGTTCATAGAAAAACGGTTTTTTATTTCTCGAAAGGATAGGCAGAAATCCATAAAATATGAAATGTTGTATGCTTAAAGTTACTGCAATTTATCTGAGAAATAACAATCACTATTTAAAAATGTATAAGGTATAAAATCGCTTACACATCAGAAACTTCACATTATTATTTTCAATTATTTTTCCAGTGGTGAATCGATCCGTATAAAAAGCGAGGCGACATCGACACCAGTGGACGGTACTATAAAGGGGTTGGACGAGGCAGGCTGGCTCGTCGTCACTACTGCTGGGGGCGAGGTCACCGTGGCTCCAGACGGTAATACCTTCGACATGATGAGCGGGCTCGTCGCACCACGCGTTTAGGTAGAGGGAAATAGGGATGATGAATTAACATCTGCTTAAGTCCTTCACATAAGTAAGGGATAAATATTTGACATGTGTTTTTTGTTATGTATAAGGAAGGATATTGGGTGATGACATTAAAGCCTTTAAATCAATACAGATAAAAAAGAAATGGGAGAACTTCTTTAAGTTCTTGGCTCGCTACGTCACTAACAAATATCCGTGCAATATTTACTTAGGTGTGACGTCATAATTATGACATTTGAAATCAGAATTATGTCGTCGAACTTTTTTTTAATAGAATCTATTTTGTGTGATGTTAAAAATGTTAGTCATCTACCCTATTATGTATATTTTGAGTGAGGCGATGTATCATGTACTCCGTCGATGTAAAGGTATAAGAGGTATTATTTATTACAATATATTTAGTGTTGGTTGGTACATGTTGAGTTGAAACTTGTTTCATTTTGTCTAATTCATGCAGGTTGATTGATCGGATAAAACTAATAAAATATTTTTATTCCGACTACCTAGTTGGCCGAGTGGTCGCCAGTGCGACTGCCGGGCAAGCGGTCTCGGGTTCGATTCTAGTGTCGGGGAAAGTATTACTGCGTTTTTTTTTAATTCTCAATCGTAGTACGGAGTCTGAACTGAAAGTGAGTGTTACATTGTACAGTGGCATTAAACATGTAATGTACACCTCTGCCTACCCCTTCGGGGATAAAAGGCGTGATGTTATGACATGTTATTGTTGTACCCTATTAGGCAAAATGGGACAAGTTTCATTCAATGAGTAGTTAAGTTAACGGTGATATTACTACTAGTGATGTGTAATGGCTCTCTGTATGCGGGATATTTAATGGGAATTATTTTAATATACTAACTTAGTACTGTAGACTTTTGTGATAATCTTCAATACTAAAACTTATTCTATTTTACTTCATTGTCGGGATTTGAGAAATAATTTATTAAAAAGGATATTTAATTTATAAATATATGTTATAAGTAATTATATTTTATCGCTACGCAAATTAAGATATTTGCTTCACATAATAATTATTTCAATGTGACGAATCATAATATTAATTAATATTACACGTTAATTATTATTACACACGTTAATGAATATATTTTAAAATATTCGTTATTTATACAATGTTGTTGGATATGTCTTTATTTTTGGATTACGTCCTAAAACTTTGCTCATAAACGGTTAAGTTTGTTTATTATATTTCACAGTTAAAGTTGTCTTTAAACGAGGAATTTACGCGAAGGAATATTATCAATATTAGAGTTTAATTAGAGTAATGTTTTACGTTTAATAATAGCTAGCCAAATATAAAATGTTATTTGGATACCAATGTAGGTATCCCTAACCTAGCATTATTTGCTAATTGTAGAAGTTCATGTAAGCACAAAAGGAAACATCAATATCGATATAAAGTAGTGTATTAATTATAAAAAATGTCGCGAATAAGACTTCGGTGTGTTCACTGAGTTGATGAATAAAATTAATTAAAAATAACCTCCAGTCTAAATAAAATTTTTGCGATCATTAGATGGCGCTAGTGAGCTATAAGATCCTGTCATTAATTTTACATCGACTTGGAAAATATTTCGATTTCCTTTATAAGTGCAGTAATGAAGCAAATAATTGTATGGGAATTGCGTCAATAATGTAATAATGTATGTGTAAATTGTAAGAAATAACGCTGAATTACTCAAACGTCCCTCAATTTTAAGTCGCGCTTTAGTATAGTTCTGTCACTACAAATTCTTTGTAACATGATAGAGATGGCACGATATTTAAATACAACTTAAATTGAGTAGCGTTACAGTATTCAGGTGTTAAGGGAATGTATCGGATTTGCGAGCCACACCACTGCCAGTGCTCTTATATCGAATAGTTGATAGGTTACATAAGTACTGCAAGGTCCGTTCGTCGTACACGTTCAACATCTGGCAACAAGTCATATATAGGGTATTTGGTTTGGTGTCAATTACTCTAAGGGGTGTTGTTATATTTATGGGTTATGCAAGTGAAGTTTATGGTCGTTAGCTCATTTTAAGAAGATACATAACTCATAATAAAGTCCAAAAGACAATTATATTCCAGTTGTAGTTTTCTAGATGCATATTTTAAATGTATAAAGGGCAGAGGAGTGAAGCAATAATTATTTTTTTAACGAGAGAACAAACAAATAGTTTTAGTTCTTCTACATCTGTTACTTAGCTTCCTACTTAAAACTTTTGATACCTCTCTCGTGAGGACTTTAATCTATGTACTTCAATCTTGGCGTACGTGTGTATGTCCGTATAGTATACATAAGTTAATATCTTAACTATAAGTCGGTTTAATAGAGCTTTTTATCGTTCATTGATTACAATATTCTTTGTATAATATATGAAAAATGTGCCTAAACAAAGTTATTGTAACAACATGCAATTGATCTATTCGTTAGATGTTAAGTCGCGTTGTACAAAATTTAAGCATCTTTACATAATTTCGGTGGGAGTCTCAAAATGTTTTTAATAATGATTTAATAAAAGTTTTACTATTTAAATGTAATATTGAATTTGAAATTTTCGCTAAAGTTTTGAAAATTCGTCTATTTGGAAAGTGGATCTTGTTAAATTGATAGAAGCAGTTGGTCCTGGTTGTGTCGCGGCCTCGCGGGACTGTATCTAGTCACTCCTCGCTGTTGTCATGTGCCGTTACGTTGTTTAGATGTTATTTATTGATAGAGTCTAAAATGTTATACATCTCTTGTTACATTACTCTGGTTGTATTCATGTGCTCTAATAAATTATTTCATTAATAATTACATCGCAGTTTTATTCTTATTCTTAATCCTTTGAGTACCGTCATTATAGACACAATTAAAGAACAATAGGTTGCAGTCATCGGTGGCTTCGCGCTGTTTGACAGTTTAAAAGCACACCTCAGGAGATGAAATATTTATATGTTGAATGCCGTAACAATAATCTCACCACATCAATTTCAACTGTTGCCTCGATGGCCGAGTGGTCGCAAGTGCGACTACTAAGCGGTCTCGGGTTCGATTCCCGGATCGTGCAAAGTATTATAGGTTTTAAAAAAAATTTCAGTGGTAGCACGGAGTCTGGAAACGTGCCCGGTATATGGCAATAGGCTCACCCCCTATTACATGGAACTAATAACATAAATAATGAAAAGTAGGTGTTACTTCTGTGTGGCACCTCTGCCTTCCCCTTTGGGGATAAAAGGCGTAATGTTATGTATGTATCAATTTCAAACAAATTCAATTATGGGACAAATTCAAAGACAGTATCGCAAGTAATTTTCGTTATAATACAAAATATGCTAAATAGTTCCATTTTATTTATAAGTATCAGCGTTAGTAAAAACGAATTTGTATTCTCTGACACCAGAAGTGCCCATATTATGTAGAATGAAGACGGAGCCGGCCAGTGGTTGTTGCTTTAATGTTTCGGGGCTCATATTCCTTCTGGAAGTGGTGACGATCAGGTCATCCAGCTTGGGCCCGCCCCAGGTTAATGACGTTGTTAAAGTAACAGGCAGCTTGTAGCGTTCCACTATTGTCCTCTTGTCAGGGTTGATGCGTACTATCTGCGGATATATTGATCAATTTCTACATATTTTGGAGTATAGACGTTGTAGCTGTTTTGGGAGGATAAGGCGGAGTTGCCCAATCAAAAAACATTTAAATTGGAAGTTATTAGTGATTCGCTTGGATGAATACGTCTTTCTTTTATGGTCTACCTTGTAAATGAGCATAACAAAAAGTTTATTTTTTGTGCTGATGGCTGCACAAATAGAAGTTGGATAAATAAAATGGCAGATTTGTAAAAATCAATATTCTATAGATTAACTCGTGTTTTTATGACCTTATCTAGTAGCTTTAGTTTGACGGCCATCATAGTATCATCGTTTATAATAAGCTCTGGACCAATGCATGAATACTTACGCAGCCATGGAACATAAGAGCTATCCAAATGAATCCATCCTTGTCGATAGTCATTCCGTCTGCTATAACCTCGTCATCCCAATATTCGTCTAATTCCAGGATCGTGCGACGCCTGCCTTAAAATAATAGATAACACATGAGTCTATAAAACAACATTTTTAAGGTTGGTTTAATAGATAAAGGTATATTAAGGTGTTCATCAATTCTTTGGCAGCTATATGCATTTTAATCTCTCCTTAGGCCCTTATAACACTTAGAGACACAGACAAACCCATTGGTAAATACTGTGCAAAATTCCAAAGGAGATTGGCCATCTTTTTAGCCCTGTCAATCTCCTTTAGCTTTTGCTTACGCTCATACTCAAAGACAAAAAACATTGAGTTTTTATTTCTTGCCCAAAAATTAACCTACTCCCTTTTTTGTTTTCTTTTAAACGTACGCAATATGATTTTCTCCTGTGTCCTGGGTGCGTTTACAAACATACACTCGACACCCAGACCCAATACAACAATTTGTTGATCACACAGACTTGCTCCGTGTGTGAATCGAACTTGCTACACGTTGCGTGGCAGCCGGTTGCCCAGCCACCGCGCTAACTGTGTAGTGAAATAGATAATAAAAAATAATTATAATTACTTATGTGTCCTCTTTCTAAATTAAAATCAAATGCTTCAATTCTCCGTGAGAGCGAGTCGATATAATACATTATGGTGTTGTTCAGTGACCAGACGAGTCCGTTCGATATGGACACCGGCTTCAGTCGGATCTGTGGCACGAAGTGAGGCGGCTCCAGACTGTACAGCGCACCCTCGTCGTACACCACATCATTGCCGTGCTGATGACCTTTTGTTCCTTTAGAATTAAATGAAAAAAGTTAAACTGGTGATACTTTTTTAAGACTGCTTCGTTGGCCGAGTGGTTGAAAGTGCGCTGCCGGGCAAGGGGTTTCGGGTTCGATTCCCGGGTCAGGCAAAGTATTAGGTACTGGGTTTTTTCTTTAAATCTCAGTAGTAACACGGAGTCTGGAAATGTGCCCAGTATATGGCAATAGGCTCACCCCCTATGACATGGGACTCATAACATAAACCACCTCCGCCTACCCGGGGATAAAACGCGTGATTTTATGTTATGTTATTTGAATTGCAACAGAGAGCGAATAGTTTATTCTAAAGCAGAAAATATTTATCTGTTTTTAATAGTTTGTCTGTTGTATCACGAATTATTTTTAAATATTTAACAAGATAGCGTTTGGCATCATCAGTTTCCACCATCTCACCTGGTGGTAACTGATGATGTATGTAAGATAATGTAGAGAGACAATGAAGTTGCAATAAGTATGTTGATTAGTTACCTCCCCAAAATCTGCCCATAGCGTCGACGATCCCTTCGTTCAGAATGTTATCAGGCAAGCCTTGGTCAAAAGCCGCCACGAACCTCAGGGCAGAGTCCCCAGGCAAACTCCAGTCCATTATGTGTAACTCGTTCCTGACGCCAACTAATAGTCGACTGCTGTTCTTTATTGGAATTACTATGTTCACCTCGCCGTAGTCTGGAAGACAGTTAACATGTGTTCAATAGTGGCAAGCGTGTGGAATCCCTTATTTATTATGTGCATACCTCATATACTGTTGAGAGTTGTGGCGTACAGACAAAGGACATACGCAAAGTTGCGGGTCAGATTTAAAAAACAAGTCTGTCAAGGACTTTTGTTTTCATGATATCTATAATAACATAATTCAGGATCCCATATTTCTTCCGACATCTGGCTGGACCGGAGTGATACCATGGCCTCACAGAAAACCGACGAGAAAATGCTTACGTTGTGTTTCATCGTATGAGTGAGGTTACCGGAGGCCCAATTACCCCCTCCTCAGTCTCCCCAAACTCCGAATCCTCCACAATCCTCAAATTACCAATTCCCAAAAGGCCGATAACGTACTTGTAACGCCTTGGTGTTTCAGGTATCCATGGGTGGCGCCGATTACTTACCATGGTGATCCGTCTGCTCGTTTACCGGCTTATGCCATAAAAATACCCCCAGGCGAGTCCTACGCTATCTGTTAATTTAATGAAGTCATCACGTATATTTAATGAAGTCATCATGTATATTTAATGAAGTCATCATGTATATTTTTTTTGTTTAAGGGGGGAAAATTATCAAATGACTTCTCCCGCCTGGGTGAGGCACGAAGGAGTGTTAGACTCTTACCGACTAAAAACCACCCCGTTCCTACTCCCGCACTTCGAGCCGTAGCCCAGGTAACACGTTGTTCTTCGCGACACGGGTTCATGTATGCAGTATGTTCCTCAAAGGAGATTGATACTTACTAATATGTTTAACCTTATGTTGCTTGGTTTTGTAGTCCAGAGAGTGCACGTCTTGTTGTAGCACGTCCACCCAGTACAAGGTCTCGATGTCGGGGTCCCATACCGGACTCTCCGCGTGAGAGAACGTCAGATTCGTGTACTCAAATGTATTAAACTGATTTGGTGTTATATGTTTTACCTGTATCGAAACAATTTTATATCTTAACAAGGAAGAAAAGTTATATGAATAGGTTATAGTATTTTATGGGTACAAAAAGAAGGGAATTTGTGTCATAAACGGGGAATAGACTATGTTGAGACAACGATGGGCTATCAATCATAGTTATTATGATAGATATTACCCCAACATAATCTTTTTTCGTAACGTAGGTAATATTATGAATCTAAGAAATTAGGACTTACGTGATACAGAATGACTGGTTCGATGAAATATAAATGGCAAATGGCAACAATAACCCACGTATACATGATTAAATATTTATTTATTTAAGTTTAATAATTTATTTATACTAAATAATTACTTGCGTGCACTGTTTACGTAAAACTTCTAAATAATTATGCTTCCTACCGTTAGGTAACGTGTTCCATTTTAAATCAATTTACTCACAATTTAACCATGTAAGAGCTATTAGTATTAATTAGTGCTCTCGAGTAAATTTTTGTTGCCTAAGACACCTTATACCTGGTTTGGTATTCCAACTTGTACGCTTGTACGGTATTAATCAAAGTAAAGCATGCCTAATTCCTCGCTCGTGAAATGGACTATTGTGAAATGCCAATTGCTATTTAAATGTTTTTTTTTATGATGGGCCGACGTTTGACCACTATCTCGCCTGGTGGTTACCGATGATGCGGCCTACGATGGAGCATGTCGTCCACAACCAATTCTCTCGGGCCTTGAAGACACCCAGGTTGTAACCCTTCAGGATATACAGACTAAAGGAAGGAAACTGAATTCAACTGTATTTTTTGATAATACTTATAAATTAGTCGACGCGTTCACAATAAAAAAAACTTGGGAGCGCTGCAGAAGCAATTCCCTAGTATCTAAAAGTACTATTAAAACTTATTTTTTAACTTACAGCAATAAAATATCTTTAAGTAATAGATTTGATCTTGTGCGTTGTTAAAAAGGGTTTTTTTTAAGGGGGGAAAATCATCGAATGACTGCTCCCGTCTGGGTGAGGCGGGAGGGAGTGTCAGACTCTTACTGACTAAAAACCACCCCGTTCCTTCTCCTGTACGTCGAGCCGGAGCCCCGTTAGGTTCTCCGCGACTGTTAAATAGGGTAACTGAATGTTCTGAATTAAATAAAAAACCCATATTATAAAAAATACTACTTTATTTTATCTTAAATACAATTTGATCAATAAAAATCTGCGTTATCGAATCGGAAGCTATGAGGTTCGACACCACGACTTCCAGTGCCTCGTATCGTGAAGATAGCGCCCCCTAGTGGCTCCGCAGCGGCATCTAAGTTGTCTCGAGCAGTTGTCACGAACAACTCGTCGAGGTTGGGTCCGCCCCAACACACTGACGTTACTCGGGACACAGGTAGCTTGTAGCCGAATACTATTTGTCTGGTGTCTGGGTCTACGTGTAAGACCTGAGAATGAAGTAATAAGTATGTCAATTTGACGTAGATAATATTTATACCTCATCATACTTCAGGCATCCACTGCTGAACACAAGCAATCACAATTACATATATAGAAGCGACCTGTATCTGTTTATTCTTACGACTTACGAACATACTTCTAATATTTGACCTAATTGCTTAGCTATCACCAGCTTAGATTTAAAAGTGTTACGGTAGTCCCGAATAGGCAGCGTAAAAATATTACAAGAATAGTCTTTGGGAAACACTGAACGTAGAGTGTAGTTTTACAGGACAATGTCTACTCACAGTGCCGCCAAACATGAGAGCTATCCAGAGGTTCCCGTGGCTGTCGATGGTCATGCCGTCAGGGATCGCGTCCTCGTAGCCAACGCTTGATATGTCTATCACCGTTCTCCTGGCGGCTGCAGAAAAAAGAATTAAGTACTGACGCTTGTAGTTTCATTTTCAACTTTATTGTCTTCGTAATTAAATGTAGGTTGACGTGTTCCTCCTGAGCACGTCAACCTACAATGGAACCGAAAGAACTCATTTTTTAAGCATTTTTACCCTAGTTACTCCAGATAATGGATGAAGTAGAATCTTAACTGTCCAATGTTTGACTACCATAAGCTGAATTAACCTTCATTCAAGAAGGTTGTAGGAAATCTATCCGGTCTTAAAGACCATAAAAATACACACATAAGTCTCCTCTTTGCAAATCAAAGTCGAAAGCTTCAATTTTCTGCGTGGGCGAGTCGATGTAGTACAGCACTGTATTGTTGAGTGACCACACAATGCCGTTTGAGATGGAAACTGGCCGCAGTTGCGTGCGAGGGTGGGTGAAACTTTCTTGTTCCACACTGTAGAATGTTCCCTTGTCCGGAACCACGTCGTCACTTGTCTGTGGGCCTTTTGTACCTGTTCAACGAAAGATAGCAAATGTAACTCTAAGATTAAAACGTAAGGTGTAGTTTAGCGATAACAGGAACACATTTTACACCAGTACTGGTATTAGTTGATTCCATCTCATTTCTGTTATTACTTGTACACAAACTGAAACCTAAAATGGTGATTCTGTTATCCTTTGCTATTATTTACCATGAGTTTTCCCTAGTATGTAATTAATAGCAATATTTTTCTACAACTACGGACGACATTATTTTAAACTGAAAATATGGGAAGTATGACGGCATAGTCAACCACTTAGGAGATCAATTATGACACTATCGAGTGACAGAAAAATGTAATGAAAGTTTAAACGAGTGTTCCAGCTACCTGCCCAAAACCTCCCTTCAGCGTCAGGTTTCCCTTCATTGATGACGTTGTCCGGTAGACCGACGTCCACAGTAGTCAGTAGCCGTAGGGCCGAGTCTCCAGCGATAGCCCAGTCTAACAGGTACAGGGAGGAGCGTACTGCTATCAGTAGCCGATGGGAACCCGCTACTAGGGATACCACGTTCACTTCGCCATAGTCTGTGAATTATAAATCTTCAAAGTAACACTCTGCTTGGTTTCCTCCGCTCCAGCCATGATAGTATAAATATTGCTGGTAAACCGGAACTATGTTACAAATGAGATCCTAATCATCATCAACCCACAACCAGAGACAATAGGCATCTCTTGAGTACCGTCCATCTTCAGTTCCACAAATTAGATAGTTACATAGCTGTTTTAAAACTCAAAGGGAAGTATTTAACTTTACTTAGGGCCGATTTTTAAATCATCAGTTAATTTTTAACTAAGGAATAACTTTGAATATTTGACAACAAATTCTTCCATAGGTACTAAAAATTGTCAATCTCAATATTATTCTACTGTTAAGAATTAACTGATGATTGAACAATTGGCTCTTAATAGGGTTATAAAGCTAGCAAACGAAACGTACAAACATGTCTACAACGATAGAGTAGACTTGCAATCTCTATCTATAGTCACATCATCAAGTTAAGGCACTACTTACTGATATGTTTAGTATAAATCTTGCCGGATACATAGTCGAGTCGATGTACGTTGCTGTCGCGTACGTCGACAAAGTAGAGACTCTGTTGCTCGGGGTCCCACACGGGACTCTCCCCGTGTACGAACAGGGCGGGGCTGCCAGGGTTCTCGTGGGATGACACCTAATGTTGTACAATTTAGCGGTCACTTATTGGAATGACGAGTTTGATAAGTGTCTGACGAAGTTTGGTAGTGTCTACTATAATTTGACGTTTTGGTTTTCTAAATTCTTGACTGGAATTATGTCTATTTTTGACGATTTGACTCGTCTATGTTGGTTATTGTTGCAGAGGGCGTAAATGTTAATAAAATCTTTAGATATTAGTTATATGTTCTGTATACTTAACATATGGTTTGGTTTTGATTGATTCTTACATGTTTTTATTCACAAATCAGTGTTGAGACAGAATCAATTTTTGTTGGCTCAAAAGTAACTACGTAAAGTACAGTTCTTTTGAACCGCAATTTATATGGCTCTATAAACCAGTGTAACATCTTGGATATGTACTCACCATAGAGATTCTATAGTATTGTTGGGATTCCTGTACCTCCTGGGTGTCAGCGGCGACGGAGTGATAAATTATACAAATCAATGCAATGATCAAAAACATTATTTATTTAGATCTCAATAATTAAATTAATATAAATTTCTTTTACGGTATTTCCGTGCAGTACTGCACCTAAGATTGTTTTCTGTACAACTGTGAATCAAATGTTTCCAAAACATGTCAAAGCAATAAAATGATACGATAATTGTTTTTCAGACACGAAATGAACGTAAACAGTTAGCCGGGGGGTCGATAACGCGGGACAAAATGACGGCGTCAACTGAAACAATAGCATTACAACCCGAAGTGTTTTATTTCATAGCGGCGATATGCTTCTACACGTACACTTACAATTAAATAATTAAGAATACTTGAATACATCGATCTTCCACCACATCCGAGGTTCACGTTCATACAGATCACTCGTTCACATGTAACTCTATACAATAATGTCGAAGTCTACTTATGCTAATATATGCTTAATGGCTAGTGTTTGTAGTCCGTGTAGAGGCGCAGCTAGGCGTGGGAGGGGGCGCGGGCTCCGGCGCGGGTCCGGCGCCGCGGCCGGCCCGCCGCCGCGCCCGCCCCCCCCGCGCCCGCCGGCCCGCCCACGCCTGGCACTGCGCCCGCTGCACCACTCTCGGCCTGTAACCTGCACGCACAAACATAATATATGTCAATGGCAAAAACTTAAAAACTTCTCTCATAGGGTCTAGTTGAAACCAGTAAAAATAATCTAGACTGATCACAAAGAACCGTGTTAAACTGTTAGTTAGTTAAACTAAACTAGTTTTCCTAAACTTAGGATGAAATCAAACTCAAAATAGATTATTACAATTAGACCAGCAAAAGGCACTTCTTGACATCAAGAAAAAAAATCGGTCTGTCGGTGACTCCTCTAATATAAATAATCATTAATCATATTCACAACGAAAATAAAAGTACGATTACAATATTTCCGTGTAGTATAACAAACAAAACAAATAAGTATTGAGTCCCAATTACCTAAAAACGTCAGAATACACTATTGTAGAGAACAAAACGAAATGTATGTGTGCTATCAAGGCTATTGTAGATTTCCGTTTATTTGTAAACACTCAAGTAACTCAATTGTAACGTATTGTAGTCTGTTTGTTGCTACAGTTGGACCGGAACCGTTGTACCGTGCTTTAGGAACTAGTGACGATATGAATTAATCCTTACTTCCTTACTAATATTATAAATCGGAAAGTGAGTTTGTTTGTTTGTTCCGCCTTCACGCCGTAACTACTAAACCGATTGCTTTGAATTTTTGCAGACATAAAGTTAGAAGTCCGGATTAAATAATAGGGTACTTATTATCCCGGAAAATTTGATATTACCGAGGGATAACAAAAGTATTGGTATAGATGGCGCTGTGTGTATTGGTATATGTCACATGGGCTACTTTTTATCCTTTTGTGACGAGAGCGAAGCCGCGGGTAAAAGCTAGATACTTTGATTCAGCTTTACGATGTAAAAATGATTATTTTCTCATCACAAAGATAATGCATGATCAATTTACAGTGCGGTACTAACAGTGGTTTCGTCAAAACTATAATGTTCGTATTGTTTTTAACTATAATATTTATATTTATTATAATGTCCATGGATACTAGTCAAGAACATTCAAACAAAGGTAGACATAATGTCACTTAGAAATTATTGAAGCACCATAATGTCAGTTGGATATTTATGTGTGTATCCCATTGGTTTTTTTTAAGGTAGGAAAATCATCGAATCACACTCGCTCACGCCTGGGTGAGGCGGGAGGGAGTGTCAGACTCTTACTGACTAAAAACCACCCCGCTCCGTTTCGAGCCGGTAACCCGTTAGGTTCTCCGGTCACCAGACGGAAGAAACTGACAGACGTCCTTCGTGTCAATGTGTGTATGTTCTGAGTGTAAGTCTACAGTAGCCTGGTGCCACAGTCGTTGTTTCAAGAGACTATGCCCGCCTTTTTTAGTTTATAGTTATGATGGTATACATGTCGCAATCGGAGCTAAAATTACAATCAATAATCAAATACTTAGCCAAATTCAAAGACGGAACTCAATACATCAGACAATTAAAAATCTAGTTTTCATTCACATCAATGATGCACGACCCATTTAGGGTGTGACACAGTTACTTTCAAATTCTAACAGTACAATAGTCAGGTATGTGAGTACTAAAGTTACCTCTGATGTGCTTGGTGTCTTGCACGGAACTCCGCGGCCTTGAGCTGCTCCAAGTGGAACTGTTGTCGCTCCTGAATTAGTTGCTGTCGTTGGTACTCCAATCCTTAATTAAAATAGACATAAATTAACTCGTCGAGTACCGGTTTTATAGACACAATTAAAGAACAATAGGTCGCGGTCACCGGTGACCGTTCGGTGTTTGACAGTTTAAATTGATATGATGATTACCATAAAAAGATGAATTTTAATAGGAAGATAAAGATATTGGCTCTTGTGATAATAAAGCTTCAAGGGGGAGGTTAAAGGTGTAAAGGATGTGATACCAAGGAACAATAATACTAGATTATAAAAAGCAAGTTAGATAGTGATTAATTAGCATTTTTTTTTTCTTTATGTGGAGAAAATCCTAGTGTGGGGCAAAATAAAATTTTGCCCCACACTAGGATTTTCTCCTATGTCTAAGGTGCGTTTACAAACATACAAGTTCACATACACATGACACCTAGACCCGGAACGACAATCTGTTTTTGTTCCGTGCAGGAATCGAACCCGCGACACGTTGCGCGGCAGTCAGTTGCCCAACCACCGCGCCAACCGTGCAGTCTGAGCATTATTTACAAACTGATTCTTCATCAATATTTTTAGAAAAAAGTATTTTGTCAGGTATTAATACATATTATACAAACAACGTGCATTATACAAAGTATATCTATACAAACTGCCACCTAACCTTACAAAGATAATCTAGATTAGTGTTATCAATGTTTACCTTCTCGTTCCCTCTCCATGGTAGCTTCAAGTTCCTCGAAATGCCTTAGTTTGATCTCTAGTTTCTTCATCTGCGTCTCGACGAGTAATGCGACGAGTGACTTGATCTTCCTCTCCTCGACTCCCGCGAGATGTTTGGCCTTCACGGCGGCAGCGGCCAGCGCTGCGGCCGCCGCGGACTGGAGCTTCGCGTCCACTGCCGCTGGGGCTTCTGTTTTTTCTGTACCTGTTGTATATGAATATTAGGTAAATTTTTTGTAAATAAATGTTGATACATTTTCATCAAGATTTTATCAGTTAAAACCGCTAATATGGCATAATGTTAATAACGAATAAAATATTTGTAAATGGTAAACAACTAGTCAGTTTACATTATACACTCAATATCTTATTATATTTTCGGTTTACTCTTAGGCTTGAAACTAGTCAAGTTCCTCGTCAAATAATTACGTGTGTAAGCCGAAAACATAATAATAAATTTAGTATGTCTCATGAAAGTTATAATACAAAAATTGTACACTCCAGTTTACAAATATTGAGTAAAAAACTTTATTTGTTTATCAAACGGATTTGTCCCAGCACACGCAGCGTCTCGCAGACTCTCTATGGTTGTTTCCATAAGTTGTCCATCAAATCATGAGAGTGAAGGAACAAATTGTATTCGTAGATATACACTAGAACACTATAAACCTCCTGGGTACCAGTCCTTGTTGTGATTGCCCCCCATAACGTGAAATGGTTATGGATGAGACCATTCTCACTCTTCAAGTTGTAGCTACTAGTGTGACTCACCAGCCTGTGCTGCAGGTTCCTCCTTAGGTTCCTTCTCAGGCTCTGGTGCGGCGGGGGCCTCCTGTGGCTCGTCCTTGACCTTGGCCTCGCCTTCCTCCACTTCCATAGGTTCAGCCTTGATGTCTGATGAGCCCTCCTTCTTCGCCTCAGCTGCATATCAATCATTAATTACTTATTTAGGGTGAAATTGAAATAAAAAAGTTAATGGAGTGAATTGGTGAAGGTTTTTAATTGAATGAATCTTAAAATGATAAAATAAATGGAATTACTGGTCATGAACATGAGAAAGCTGTGTAAACTGAAGGTAAAAGATTTTTAAAGAGCAATGGAATTTCCTACAAATTGTTCTTTGTACGAATCTGTGCTTTAGAAGGAGCAGCTTTACTGGTGGTACGAACTCTAACATATATGGAGTGAGTTGCAGAATGAGTGTGAGTAGGTAAATAGGTGAGTGAATCTGTGAGTGAGTCAGTGAGTGATGGTGTGTACCGCTAGGCGAGAGGTCGGGCGCAGTGCCGGCGATGCCGGTGGCGGCCAGCGCGGCGGCCGGCCCGTGGGCTCCCGCCGCCTTCACGTGGGCTTCCATCATGGCCGCCGGGACCTCGTCCTGACACACAAATATTTGAAATTATAAATCAAATTAACGATCAATCCCCGTCGCCGATCTACCACAAGCGTATGAGCGCATTCTCCCTAAATTGTATATGATTCTTACCTTGATAGCCGCGAACTCCTCCATAGCCGCCTTGGTGGCTCTGGAGGCGATGCGTGGATCCACGACGGAGGCGAGGAAGGCCACGGTACTCATCACTGGGTTGCCTGTCTTGCTGAATGGAATTGGCTGGTAGGCCAAAGGTCCTAGCACGCCACCTGCGATAGAAAAAGAATATTATAATATCGAATCGAAATCAACGCGAGACCTTGCTTGTGACTATTCAATCAACAAGGTAATTGTGACTATTCAATCAACGAGGTAATGATCAAAAAGTTGGGACATTAGTCAAAAGTGTGATGGGTCTATTTCCTACCTAGATAATCTATCAAGTGGTAGATTATTGCTGGATAGATAGGGTTCAACTTGAGAATTCTGCTTAAAAGCGCACTATATGTAGGTTCTTTGTCACAAGCAATAGATATTATTGCAGTATGCGTATGTAGTTACCGGCGGTGGCATCGTGCAGGTAGGGCTCCTCGATGGGCAGGCGCAGGAAGTGCAGTATGCACTCGTCCTGCGTGCGCGAGCCGACGTGCGCGGCGACCCTGTTCCAGTCGTCGCGGTGCAGCTCCAGCGCCTCCAGCAGCAGC